TAACTCAAAGGAGGGGAGCTTAGCTCAAAAAGTTTGAAAACAGCTTAGGGTGCAGGGAGGAGGTAGCTAGAGGCTGAGTGTGGGCAGAGGGGTAGCTCAGGGTGCAGGGAGGTAGGTAGCTAGAAGCTGTATGCAGGCAGGGGATAGCTCAGGCTGCAGGGTGGGGGGTGGCTAGGGGCTGTGTGCAGGCATCGGGGTAGCACAGAGTGTAGGGAGAGGGGCATTAGGGGCTGTGTGCTGGGAGGACTCCCCTGTGGTCCCTGTTCCCGGAGGGGTCTGCTAGCCACAGAACTGAGTCTCCCCACCCCAGGGGCTCTTACTGGCTGCCTCTGTGGGAGCAAAGGGGGCTGGGAGCTGAGGAGCAGCTTCAACCTGGGGCACCGGCAGAGAGGAGGGACCATGTGCTTTGGACCATGCACAGAACCATGCACCAGCCAGAGCAGCAACTGCCCTGCACTGTCTGGCTCCAGCTTCCTGCCTCCGACCGGACCAGGGGGCGGGGAGAGGAGATGTGGGGAGAGGTGTGGAGCTGCCCCTGGACTGCCTTGCACTTGCGCTGCAGTTTGGATGGGAGGTGGGGGAATGCCCTCTATGTCCCTTACTCTGTCCATGGGCTCAGGGCTTCTGCCCCAAAGAGAGCACCCGGGCTCAGGGCTCTGGGCTTCAGCCCTGTACCTCCCGGTTTCAGCCTCGCGGGGGCACTGGGGATTGAGGTTTCAGCCCCATGCCTCCCGGCTTGAGCCCCATGGTGGGCACCAGGGATCGGGGCTTCAGCCCTGCATCTCCCAGCTTCAGCCCAATGTGGGGGAGAAAGGCGGGATGCCGGGGATCCGAGCTTCAGCCGTGGGGCCCCGCAGCCCCCTTTAAAGGGCTTGCAGAACCCCAGGGGGCCATGGACCCCTGGTTGAGGACCACTGGTCTGTACTATCTTCCTCCCCACTCATCACCATACTCTCTTTCCAGATATGCACCTTTCTAGTGTGCAGCAGGTGTTGTAGTTGGGGCATTCTCACAGTGGATCCATCTTGGTGCCTAATAGACATTTTTCAGGCTATAGTGGTATATTCTCCCCCCCACTATTTAGTAATTTAATAGGGGCCTTGTCATTCCTTCCATTTGAAAGCTTTCTCCCCCACACTTTCTCTGCCTCATTCCCCTTGTCCTGGCTGGGCCTGGCAGTGGGTGAGAGATTCCTCCCAGCCCCATCTCTCAGGGCAGTGGTTGGGTATCGGAGGAGGATGTACCTCATGTAAAGGGTGAAGGTGGAGGGGAATGGGGCAGCAGTGACCCCCAGCCCTGGGAAGGGCAGAGATCCCACATGTTTGAACCAAGATCTGGGGGATCTTTACCCCCTGTGTGTGAGCTGTGATTTGGCGCTGCCCTTCTATAGAAGGTGGTCTGAGCCTTTCTATCTGCCCTTCGTGTGTGAGCCAGGATACTAAAAGCCCAATGGAAGGGGAATGACCATTCCTACTGAGACGAATGGGAGCAATTCAGATGTCTGAGAGTTATTGTTTCAGGCTCTATCCATCTTCATCATGTATTCTCATTTGGCTGAGAATAGCTCACTGAATGTTCACTTCACACCTCCGTGCGCCTCCTGTGCCTCAAATGAATGTGTACAGCCTTGTTCCCGGATACTAGGCCCTGATTTGGAGTAGAGATGATGCTCCACTCTCCTGTTCCTTCCTGCTTCCAGCTGGTACATGCACTCCTCACAGCCCCGTGACCCCTCTAAATTTACATGGGGCGGGTAGGGTCAAGTGGGAGTGTGGAGCTGGTGCGTGTATGGAGGGTTCTAAGTGGGGTGGGGGTGGTCAGATCAATGGTATGATGAAGTGAATGTTAGAGGAGCCAAGGTAGTGCTGGGGGAGTCTGAGCAGTTGAAGGTAATATGGGAGGGGTCAGAACAGTGGAATCTGGGGTGAGTAGGAGGGGATCTGAGTTGTGCAGTAGGAGTTGGTGAGGTTCGCCTCTGTCCCCCAAAAGTCCCCACATCCACGCCTCTCCATGTCTGTCTCCTGCCCACCAAAAATGTCTCTAGTGACTTCATGCTAGTCCTTGTGCTGCTGTTGCATCCTCCCCACAGCTCTTCAACCTGCACGCCCTGTGCTGTCGCCTGCCTCTTCCTTCCAGAGGATGGTTGAGGAGGAAGAACTAGTGTGTGCTGGACATGCAGAGAAATGGGAGACAAGGAGATGATGCAAAGGCATGGAAGAGATGGCCATGCAGCCAGTGCATTCTGTGGGTGGGGTAATCCTTCCTGAGGAGCCAGAGGCAATGGAGAGGGAGAGGTGGGCTGTAGTATGTGGGAAGGTGGTGAGAAACTTTTTTTTTTTTTTAAACCAAGGAAATTAAATGCCCCAAACCTTCATTAATACGGAGTTAAGGTTGCCTGGTGTTACCTCGTGTCCTTCCAGAATGTGGAGAGAGCTAAGCTTAAACCTCTGAAAACCAAAAAATGAAAAGTTATAGTACACGCCACAATGCATCCTTAATTCTGTCCTAACCACATATTAGCAATGTACTGTCGTAGATGCTACATAACACCCAGAGAATGGAACATGTGAGCACTGCAGGATAAAGTTGAACAACACCTCTTTGTCTGAGCAAAACTTGAGTTTAGGTCAGGCCTAACAAATAGGAGCTGCCTACACTCAAACACTGTGCCCACTCACACAAACCGCCTCAGACTTGCTATATCTTTTCATCCCTTTACTCTTGTGTACCTCTGCACTCGCTCACTCACTCTCTTTCATCCCAGATCATCTTTGCAGACACGGAGTAGTACAGCGTTGCCATTCACTTCTGTCCATGGCTTGTTCTTTCATTAAACCCAGCCTGATTGTGTCCCTGTGTACGATATCCTACAGTGTAATCGGTCAGACTGATCTTGGTTATGTTTGCATTATTTTCTTTGGCATCCTATCACCTGTTTTCAGCAGTCTCTGCACCATCATAATCGTTTAGATTTATAGCCAGTCCTGCACTCTGATTTCACATTCTACTGTCCTTTTAACTTCTTTGTTTGTCTTAAAAATCATTCCATTTTACACCTGCCATGTTTTGAAGAACTCTCATCTGTACTGCCTCCAACCTTCTGTTGTCTTTTTAATTTAATGCAGTTGCTTCCACGACTTCTCTTGGTAGCTTAACCTTTGCATCACCCTTATTTAACCCAGTGGCTATTGCCAGTTTATGGTAGCCAGAATTAAGTGTGTGTCGTGGGGGTACTTTAAGTCTTTTGCTAATTTTCAACAGGTCAGCCACTCTCCGTTCTGGAAGGGCATGGGGCACTACTGGGCAACCTTAACTCTGTGTTACGATGGTTTTGGGTAATTATAGTATCAATTCCCCCTTTTAAAGCATTTATCATGGGATTTTTTATTAGAATGAAATATTTTACATAATTTGTTTAAACCATGGTACAGTGCAAAAATAAAACACTCTATCTGCTTCAACCAACAACAAAATGTCTGTCCTACTTGTTGTGGATTGTACGTGGTGAGATAGGAAGGCGTTTCATATTGCTTGTTAGGTAGATTACAACAATCCCATTCTATGTATTTGACACACTTGGCATATGGTTTAATAATCTTCAAATTATTAATTTGGGGAGAGATTAGTGAAAGTACAAGTGCAAGTAACCATGGTAGTATTAATTTAATTGGAATATATAGGCCCAAAGAGTCAAAGGTGTTAACAAGATCCGGTCATTATCCAGTGTTAAACAAGGTTTGGTATACAGAAACCTCAACTTGCTTAGTACCACTGCAAACAGAGCATTAGAAATTAAGACTTTATTAAAGATACAGAAAAGAAGGAAAAACAGTTAAAGCATTGGACATGTAAAGTATAAATAAGGCTTTCATTTTAACAACATCCCTTGTTCCCTTTCCCTTTAGCTGACAAGAATATTTAGAAGGGAAAAAAACTGGTTTGACAGTCTCTTGGGATGGTATTAAAGATGCTAATAAAGACATCCTTTTGGGGAAAAGAGAAAAAATTAGCAGAGCTGGGCTGGAGCCTTCATTGGCGGTGATGGTGTTAAAGTCTGATCCCATTTCCTAGAAGACAAATCCAAGACAAATGCACACAAAAGGGGAGAAAAAAGAACAGTAGAGAGAAAATGCAGCTTCTGTGTCTGGTGGTGACTCTCACTTGCAACCTCACTGCTGGAAAAACGCAGGCACAGGACATGATCTTTTCAGCTGCTCAGAAACATGACAAACTCACTCCAGAATCAAGCTATTTGGGGCATTGCTTTTAGCTGCCTCTTCTGACCATAGGCTTTCAGAATATACAGTGTTGGGCAGCTAAGCTAGATTCTTATTAATCAGAAGACAAAAGGAGAGAGATAGGAAAGAAAATAAATTAGGTGGGGAAGGAAAAGGATACATGGAGTATGGGGAAGAGAGAGAAACTTGCACATCCCACATGGTGTTTGGGATAGAGCTGGAGCTGGTAGAAAGGGCGGTATCATTGTGGTTCTTCTTTCTGGCCTGGGTCCAGTCAGAACATATTTCAGGACCAGGATTAAGAAGGGCCAGGGTGGTAACCATGATGGTGAAGCTCACTCCAGTAGCCAAATTTTCTCCCGAAGTCTCTTTCTTTAATGATCCCATAAAGGAATAATGCGTGGAATAGCCCTTCCCCTCATTATGTTGGCCACCATTTAGGCCTAGTTTCTGACAAACCAGTTTTGGTTCATTTATTTTCTATTCCGCGTTTTCCTTGTTTACTAAGTATGATCTTAACACAGTCCTTGAATTATATCTGCAGGCCTGTTTGTTTGGACTAATACAATCTTTCTGTCTCCCTTTCATACCTTTTCCCATCAACATTTGTCATTGTAGGTTATTGTGACATCTTATGAACTTTCATGCTGATTCCAGTGCTATTTCATTCTCCTTTCACTTGTTTTATTAAGTTGCTTTTTAAATCTGAGGTCTCTCACTCTGAGGATTATTTGTTGTTGTTGTTGTTGTTTTTTTTTTAAGATAAAGCACCTCTGTCAAAGAGTCTTTTATTAATTCCAAGTGCCCTGTCGGTTCTATTGACTCTGCTCTTCCAACATTATCAGAAGTTCTTCACATATAACCTACAAGCTGTAAAAGAGGATTTTCAGGTAAATTTTAATTCATTTATGTAGAAGGGGAAGGGATTTCTAAATATTAACTCTGTCCTCCTTGATTCCTCAGTGTATTTCTCCTGTAGTATTCTCCCCCCCCCTCCCGCCCCCATTGTCTTGGACTCTGGGCTTGTTTACTTGGGAAGTTAGTTCATAGAAAGATAGGGTGTGAATTTAAAACACAATTGTTTAGCCAAACTGCACAAAGGCACTTTAGTGCAGAATAAGTGTGTCCACCTGGCTAGTTAGTTAGCTGCTGTGCTAACTTCCTATGTAGGCAAGTCCTTAAATCACCAATCTGTTACCATCACTACTCCCATTTAGGCCATATCACCACCCATGAGAGATTTTTTTTCACTTCTGCTAAAACAAACCGTCAGAATACCTCTCATTTTCTTCTTCTGGGACGCTGATATTATTTCATCATCTGTCTTTCAACAGAGGAGGATGTGAGCCTTGTATAACTTGAGCATAAATTATGGCCATGTCTACACTACCACTTATGTCGGCAAATCTTGTGTCGCTCAGGGGGATGAAAAAACACCCCCATCCCCCTGAGCAACATAATTCTTGCTGGCATAAGGGGTAGTGTGCACAGCACTATGTTGCTAGGAAAGCTTCTCCCGCCAACACAGCTAGTGCTGCTCGTTGAGAGGGGTTTTTTATGTTGACGGGAGAGCTCTCTCCTGTCAGCATAGACTGGCTACACAAGTGATCTTACAGCAGCGCAGCTGCATTGGTACATCTGTGCCACTGTAAGCTTGCTAGTGTAGACATGGCCAAACACATTTAATAGTATATGATCCTTTGATGTGAATAGGAATAATTTTGTTGTGTTCATCGATTTATTTTGTGGTGGAAGTGAGTATTGTAATCATCTCGCCTGATCTGCATAACGCAGGACATAGATTTTCACCCAGAGATTCGTGTATCTAGCCCAATTACTTGAGCTCATTTTTAGAAAGACACAAAATCTCATTGTAAAGACTCCAAATGAGGGAGAATTTGCCATAAGCTTGAGTAGTCTGCTCCATTGGCTAATTACCCTCAGTTAAAAAATTGCAACTTATTTCCAGTTTGAAGTTGGTTGCCTTCAGCTTCCAGGCATTGAATCTTGTAATGCCTTTGTCTGCTCAATTAAAGAGCCTTCTAGTATCAATATTAATCTTCAATACAATATTCTGTATTTAAATAACATTACTGTAAAGTGCTCTTCATTTTTGGAGGCTGCATACCATTGCTCAGCAGAAAAGAGCTAACAAGTGACTCTTACTATCTTCCCCAAATGTATTCGTCTTCAGACCCTAAAAGGTCAACTGAAAAGCTCCCCAAAATGTGCCCTTGACTGGTTCTTCATGCTGCATAAAGACTGTTCTAAAGGACTTTTGTTTGTTCTTGTTTAGTTCCAGTCTTTTCTGCTTGTTTAAGTTAAAAATACTAGGTTGTCACTGTCCTGTTTTTTTTTTCTGGAGGTTTTCCAAAGAGCTTTGAGAGACCTGAACAGTAGTATCACATGAGATTATGATTTAGTTATCCCCGCTACTCCTAATCCCACTCTGGGCAGCAGGAGAAGCTGAATAGATTCCTTATGTCATTGCCGTTTTCAGCCTGGTCTGCATTTAAAATTTAGGTTGACATAGCTATAGCAGTCAGGGGTGAGAAAAATCCACATAGCCGTAGCTATACCAACGTAACCCTCAGTTTAAATGCAAATGGGTTGATGAAAGAACTTGGGGAAGTAAAGTTTCTACAGCAATGGAAACCCCCCTTCCATCACTGTTGGTTACATCTATGCTATGCCACAGATATGCTGCTATAGTCCCTGAAGTATAGACATGGCCTCTGTGTATTCAGTTGTTGGGAGGGAGAGCTTCATCCCAGCAGCTCAGATTAAAGCTTCATGTAATATCACTGTTCAGGTCTTCCAAATATCTCATTAAGGTCCTACGTAAAAAGAGGGAAATGAGGACCTGATGTTTCTGATAGTTCAAGTATAGGAATCAAGCAGAATAAAATATTGGAGAAAAAGTTTTTTACATTATAAAGGAACAGTAAGGGCAAACCCGTATTTTGTTTAACTTTTGCTTTGCAGTTCATCCTAAAGGGAGTCCTAAAATCACTTGATTTTCTTTATGCTGCTGAAAAATAGTTAATGGTAGCAGTTCCCTGTTGAAAGGAACCATCTTTTTCTGTTATCAGCACTGCTATATGCAAGTATCTGGGGAAAGCATGGTATATTAGTATTTGTAAATGTGAACTATTGAAGATGAGTTGATTTGATTTGAATAGTAAGATAGTTTAAAAAAGAAAATCTTACTTGAAAATGTTCTATTTTTTTAAACAAACTTTCTAATATCTACTAATCATTTCAGAAAAATGATTAAAGAAATATGCGGACCACTGTATTTACTCTGACTGTTGTCACTAAATGTTTCCTCCTCTTTTGTATTATGTTAAACCTAAACACAAATCCTCTGAAGGATGGGAGAGAATTAAATATCTTGGTGCTTTTATATTTTAGATTTGGAGACTTGTATTTGGGAGAACAGTATGTCTTGATCTGAAAGATGCATTCTGCAATAGCTTGCTCATTTATAACTTTAGGATATTTGAAAGACGGTATGGCAGCCGAAAATTTTCAGTAAGTGCCACTTCTATCATTTTCAATACCCACAATGATTGCTAAATCCTCTGGTCTCACATTATTGTCAGATATTTATCTTGTTGTTGTCTTTGTGGAGAGATACTTTGTTTCATATTATATAAGCTAACCAATTTTTTTGACTGGCATGTTGGATTTTAAATATTATGTTAAGGTTTATTCTTAATTGAGATTTTATTTCCATTAATCAATTAATGTATTTTTAATTGGTATTTTTACCCATAAATCACAATTGAATAACCACAGAACATTTTTAGCTTTTTTTCATGTTATAACTAATGGCTCAATCGAAGAAAAAAATGTTGGTAGGGTACAGCAAGTTTTATGTGGTCCGTGAAAGTGAATTTTATTGAACAATCCACTTCTTTATACTTCTTGAAGATGAGAGAGACTGGTCTGGTAAACCCATGTTGTAAAATTGTCCTGTAATGCTCAAGGAAATAAACTTAGCTTAATTGAACTATTAAAATAGACTTTTTCAACTTTAAAAATTAGAGCTTCTGCCTCAGAGCTTTATGTCATCCATATGTTTAATCTTATAGAATTAACTAGCTCCAGTTAAATTAATTAATTAATGTTTGGGACTTATTTGTGTTGTTTTTTCCTTTTCAGTCCTTTTTACTGGGCTCCTGGATGCTGTCTGCTTTGTTTGATCTTCTCCTTGTAGAAGCTGTGCAATATGCATTTGGCATCACCATCAGCAGTTTGCCTTCTGGATTGTAAGTAGTTCTTAATGGGCTTGGCTTTGTCTTAGATACTATTTCAAGGGATTACTTAGCACAGATTTGAGTAAAATAACCTACTAATGTAACCCTTCAAATGCAGTATGTCCTTTTTTGTAAAACGTAAATGTTCTTGGCATTAATATTCATTTGTATAACACTATTTTCCAAATATGACCTGCAGTAGAGTTGAAATATTTTTAGTATTACACTTCCACTTCGTGATGACTTTCAATTCCACAACATTGTCTTTTTCTCTGTCTTGGAGTAACTAAAAGGAGTTACATTGCAGTGCTGGCATCTTTTAAGCTTTACCCAATACAGTGTTCTTGAATATTTGTTTTTATTTCACACTCTTTTAAGTGTTAACTATGCTGCTAAAAGCACAAAACTAATGTTACTGTAACTCACTTTTTAAAATATGCAAAACTGTATGCATTTCATACTGGAAGGTACTTCATTAGTTCATATTTCAAAACGCTTGAGTTTTATAGGACATTATGTATATGTGTATTGCATTTCATATTTGAAGAGTGAAGTGTTTAAAGCTTAAGATTCTTTAGGAGCTCAGTTTCAAATAAGCTGCTTTTGAGATTTGTATAATAAGAACAGAAAACTAGATGGCTAACTCAGTATTTGCATTTAGGTTCACGCTTTAGTGTGGTCAACCTCACATAGTTATGGGTTTCCATATGCTGCATGCTCTTTGGTATTAAGAAAAGATTTTATAGTCACTGTTTTCTAATGTCAAATGTAAGGGCTTTCGGTTTCTGATCCTTAGTATATCTGATGAAAAAAACATTAGACATTCTCATAAGCATGTGGAAAGTTATACTGTAGTTAGCCCACTAAAAAAATGTGGTTTTTGTTAGACTTCTAAGGTTAGCTATTATAAGGGTCTTGTAATGTGTCAGTATTCGGAAAGATTAGAGGTGGGACGTACACTATTTGTATGTCTGTATAAATGAAATCCATTATTCGGGAACAAAGTATATACTATCTGTTTAAGCTTTAGGGTATTCCAGACATTAGTGATGTTGTATATTACACTTACAGGAAATAATTAACAATTTGAATAATTTATCTCTTCTACTATTCAGTGTACTTTTTATTTATGATTACATAATTTGATTAGTTTTAGGGTGTCAAAATACTGCTACATAAAAGAGATTTTATGTAAACCAAATGTAAATATCAATTAAAGAAACTTTCTCTTCAGTTCATGTTTCTGTTCTCCTGGAAAAAGCTGAACTTATGAATATAATAGATACTTTGATTTTATATACTATCTAGCATGTAAATATAAAATCTTAATGCATCATGTATAAGCAGATATGGTAACGAGTGGTCACACTAAAATTCTGCAGAGCTGCATGTGCTTTATTTAAATTGTATATACACTAGCATGGACATTGACTCTTTTACACCTGGAAATATTTACATTTGATTGAGAGGCAGTACATCATGGACAATATATTTATTTGCCTGCTTCCCCCAGACGGTAGATCATAAATATCTTAGTTCTCCTGGATTTACTGTGAAAAATGTAAAACACATTGATGAAACATTCATATTTTAACTCATTGGTATTCCACTTTTCCCACAATTATGCTACCACAGATCTAATGTGTTCCAATATTGCAAACTCCAGAGCATTCTTGAATACAACTAAGTTGAAATGTCAGACTTCAGTGAAAGTCACTTGGCCACATTATAAGCATCTTCTGATTTTTTTATATCATTTCACTGTTTATATTACTTAGTGACCTTAAACTCCCAGATCGAAAACTCTTCCTGCGCACACTTCGAAGATAGTTGCGATAAAGCATGACACTGATGACTCTAGCCTGAAATTGTTTAGAAACAATGTAGTACAGAATAACATCTAAGCACGTACTGAGATTCATGAGAAAGGTGGTAAAGGCTGCCCACGGATTGTAACTCTGGTCTTCGTCTTGCAGCATCAGGAAGGCAAAACAAATGTGGAAGGGCACAAAGCAGACAAGCACTTGCACAATCAGAGTAATTATAATTTTTATAGATCTTTCTTTAGCTTTGGGTTTCAGTTTGGAAGTCCTGCCGTGGACAAAATGGTAAATAATGATTAGATAGCATCCAATCATGATAAACAGGGGAATCAAGAAAAAAAAAATCAAACGAGAAAAATTTAACATATTGACTTCCTTTAGATGGATGATATCGAGCATCTTCATGCAGGTAGTAAAATTTGATGCTTTATCTGGATCCGAATATAAAAATAGCAGAGGGGAAGTTGATGCAAGGGTCATTATCCAGATACCAATGCAAGCTAGCAGAGCTTTCCTTGTATTTCTAAGTTCTTTGACGTGTTTGGGCTGGACAATGGCCATATATCTATCAACACTTATAAAAGCAAGCAGCCACAGAGCAATGCTTGGATAAAACACAGTGAAAGCACCAAGAATCCGACAGAATATATCTCCAAATGGCCAAGCTTTCTTTGCATAGTAGGTTATCCGAAAAGGTACGGACAATATAAAAATTAAGTCAAGTAATGCAACATTCATCATATAGACTGTTATAGTTGTTCTTTTCTTGGTGGTGCAGCTGAAGACCCATAGTGCAGTGATGTTCACTAGCAATCCAATTATGAATATAAAACTATAAAAGACAAGTGATGCAATCCTGTACTCTTCTGGGTGCCAGTTTCCTGGCATAATGTTTTGATTCTGATGGTATTCATTCATATTTTTTTCCTCTTAAAACATGATCCCTAAGAACAAATGAAGTAAATAATGAGTAATTAAAATTACAATCAAAATTAGAGTTGGAAATTTGTATAGAAGCAAAACAGGTTGTTCTTATTTCTTGACCACAATTATTTTTTAAAACTCATTTAAAAATAATTGCAGTCAAGAAATAAAAATACATTATTGTAACTCCCAAAACGTGCTAGGCTTACTCTATCAACATAATGTCTACCCCAAAGAGATTACATATAGTATCAAACTTGTAGGGAGTGATGTGTTATTTAATACAGTAAATTAAAGTATAATTATAGATTTAAAAAAAAATTAACTAATTAAAAATGTGTCTTGTAAAAGGATTTCCTAAATATAATGAGAAAATTTGAAGTCAGGGATTGCTGAATGTTGTTATGTTTCGCTTTTTGTTTGTTTGTGTTACTGTAGCATCTAGCAGTCCCAGCCAGGGACCAGGATCCCACTGTGCTAAGCGCTATACAAACACAGAAGAAAAAGACAGTCCCTGCTCTAATGAGCTTACAGTATCTGAAGTTTGCTGTTTTAAACAGTTGCAAATTAAACAGAACTCTTCTACTTGTCCTTAAATTCTGTAAGTAGCCTTTTCTAAAGAAAATACTCCTCAAAAGTATATTTGTTTTAAAAATTAATTACTAAAATTGAGTAATAAAAAGAACAAATAAACATGAAATTTGGTGTAGTTCCTATACACAAGGAAAAATATCAGTTGTGAATTTTAGCTACAAACTGCATAGTTCCCAATAGAACATATGAAAGGCATGGAAAAAAAGAAAAAGGTAGCTTAATACCTACTTAGATTCTAAGTATAGTATCCATACCCAGGGTTTGAAAAAAATTTGCCAGATACATACTAGTGAGAAGATTACATTTATAACTTTTATTTTAATACAAAAATTCGCAATGGAGAATGAACCACGCAAATTTCACGGCAGTGTCCTTGTGGGAAGCTGCTGGGCAAAGGGTCAGCATTTTTTGTATCAGCCTCTTTGTCATAAGTGTTTGAAAACTGAAGTTTCATGCTGCTACCTCAGCTGCTGAAAGAGAACAAGAAGCTTTCTTTCTTTCTCCACCCTATTTTGGTGCAGTGGTCTACTATGTGACGTCCTTAGCCTCTTGGTGGTTGTCAGTGTGCCTGTGCTACTGTACCCCTCCCCCAGCTTCGTAGTTCCTGAAAGGAAAGAAGAATGTGTTCTAGTGTTCCTGCAGCCTCCTGGCTGCTTTGTGTATGGCAGGGTTCTCTATTACTTAACCCTTGACCCAGCCTCCTGACACTTGGGGGGTGGGTGGGTGGGCTGGGATCACTGCTACTTTATTCCTCCCCCAGTACCCTCTGTGTATGTGAGAGAGAGAGAGAGATCTCCTTACCCCCAATAATTGAATAGTTCCCAGTTCCTGATTGATACTGCTCATGGTTTTCCCAAGCAGCAGAGGAATGCAATTTCCATGAGGTGTCAGTGGACATTTTAGGCTTGTAAGTGACAAAAGCATTTAAAGAGTAATTTAGTTCACTGTTACTGTCTGTATTTTTTTTTTAATCTTTATCTTTTCACTGTAATGTCTGCTATCTACTTTACTTACTAATACAGAGCTTCCAGATTAGACCCATGGTTTGTTTAGTCCAATATTCTGGCTGAAAATGGCCAGTTACAGATGCTTTTGAGGAGACTACCCCTATATTGAACAATAATGACATGACCTGTCTATATGGGAAATTTCTTCCTAATCCCTATCAGTTAGGGTTAACTTCTGCCTTGAAATGTGTGGTTTTATATCTCTCACTTTTTGTTGTTGTTCTCTATAATGGAACTGTAGTTTATTTCATCATACACACAAATAAATCCTATACTCTTGGTCTCAATGAAATTTTCTCATTCATACAAAATGTTGCTGATTATTTGAGGATGATTTAGTCATTAAAGTGAAAATGTTAGTGTAACGGCAATAAAGTAAAATGGACTATTACATTCGGAATGGAAAAATTATGTAGTGTATTGTGGTGACAAGGAAGGAGGGAGTTTCAGAAATGCCTCTGAAGTGGTCAGCCCAGAGGATGGGTCAAATTAAAAGGAATATTTTTAAAAGATATTGAGGCACATCAGAAGAAGGATGGGACACATCCCAAAAGTGGGATTCTGTTAATGTACAGCATAGTGATGAAATCTTATCTACCAATCAATCAATTCAATTTTGATAATGTTTTCATAAAGATATTCTTTTCCTAAGAAGTTACCAAAA